AAAATCACTAATTTAAGAGTAAAATTTACTGAATCTTTGGCACTAGCCCACAGCACAGAGTCTTTCAAAATTTTAACCTAGTCTGCATTTACCCAGCCTCTTTTCAGCATCCACCTTTTTTTATTTTTTATTTTTTATTTTATTTTTTTGTCTTTTTGTGACAGGTCTCCCTCAGCATCTACTCTTTCACTTATTCATCAGCAAACATGGTGCATGCCTGCTGTGTGTCAGGCACAGTGTTGTTTATTTTCCAAAGCTAGTTTGTTGAATTGTGGGTAGAAAACATGCCATGAATGCACACGGTTCCTTGTCACCTTGATTCACTTCTGATGGTTGTTTCTACCACAGTTTACTAGAGAGGGACAATACATCTTAAGAAGAGCTTTGCAAAACTAAGTCTTCCAGTAGGAGTGGCCAGATTTCCTTACAGAGTTCAATACTACTTATCTGACACATTTCAGTTTTCAAGTTCTTATATATTATAGAACAATTTTTGTCTGTTTTAGAAACAAAAATAGAGAGGAATATTTAATGAAGTGGTTATACTTAGACCTAGTACCTTATGGAAAAGACCAAATCTCGTGTATTACTGTTGTCCTGTTGCTTATTTGTTCCCAAATGATTTAGCTTAATCCCTACTCCTACAGCCTGATGCGTGAAAATCTCTATAGCACGGCATACTTTTGACTGAGCTTACCTTTTAAAATTTCCTTCTACAGTCCTAGGTGTTATAAGACAGAAATGTGCATATGTAACCTGTCATAGTTTTGAGTAGTAAAGAGAAAAGAAAGTATCCATTATTTTGCTAAACTCTGAAGGAAAAATGACCCTAAATCCTATTAGGTCTTATTAACCATTTACATATTTACGAATGAGGTCAGATCAAGATATGCAGGGAATCCAGCCTTGTAAAACAAAGGAACCAAAAGGATGGTACATACAGGATACATACAGGATGAATGTTTTTGCAACTTTGTTGAATTCTGTAATGCAGTGGCTGCTCTTGTTCCTTCTCTGGCCTGGTAGGCTTGGTCTCCAAAATGTCAGTGTGGCCATGTGATTTTCTAACTATAACTTTGGTTGGAAAGAGGAGCTGTGGAGGGAGGAAAAGTAAGTAGCCCCTCAGTCTGGAAGCCTTTTGTATCTGTTCTTCATGCATCTCTCTTATATATTGGCCTTCTGCTTAAAAGTTCATTTGAAATAAAATAGTTGGAAAGTCACTAGACTAGATGATGCTCAAAGTCTCTGTTAGCTCATAATTCTGATGGTATCTGTTTTTCTAACATGGTGGATTTCTGCTGCTACACTTACATTTTGATCCATTTCCCTTGCAAGGGGTGAAATTCATCCTGGGGAGGCCACTTGCTCTTTTGTCTTTCATATCTCTTAGGTGTTTCAAAAGTATTGCCAAGCTTAGATGTAAATTCCAGAAGCGATAATGCAGAAGGGATTAGACCTTGTGTGGTTGCCATGTCATGCAAATTCTGCATCAAAGTATATTGGAACACCTACTTATACTTATTTTATATTTATCTCTGTGTTTAACATATTTGATAGTTATAATTTAGCAAATATTAGTCTAATTTTATAACTCATAATATATTTATATATGAGATGTTCTAGCTTCCATTTTGTTGCTGATTTTCAGTAAATTTGATGAACAAACACCATGACCAAAGAAACTTAGGGGAGGAGAGGCTTTATTCTTCTTATATATTGATCTCACAGTTCATCATTGAGAGAAGTCAGGGTAGAACACAAAGAGAAACTTGAAGCAGAAACCATGGAGAAACAGTTTGCTGGCTCAATTACAAGTTCATATTTATATAAATTTCTTACTTAGCCTGGAACCACCACCCACAGTGGACTGGGCCCTCCCACATCAATTGGCAATCAATACAATCCCCACAGACATGCCTGTAGGCCACTTTGATACAGGAAATGCCTGAATCGTGATTCCCTTCAGAGTTGACTCTAGGCTGTGTCAAGTTGACAGTTAAAGCCAACTAGGACAAATATATGTACACAAAAATTTTAGGGATTTGCCACTTTTCTTGCAACCTTTTCATATGTTTCAGTCCCACTGCAGTGGGGAGAAGGAAGTGGAAATTCATAATGTAAAAATGGATTTGGGGTTGGAAAGATGGCTCAGTGGTTAAGAACCATCCAGGTTCCAGCACCCACATGGAGGTTCCACAACCATCTGTAACTCCAGTTCCAAAGGAATCCAACCCCCTCTTCTTGCCTCCACGGGTATTGTCCATGCTGGCAAAATGTGTTCATACATTAACAAAGCAAAACAAAACAAAACAGATTTAATCCTGGAAAGGATGTAAAATTACCAAAAAAGAAAAATTTTGTACAAAAACATTTTTTTCTTCATCTTGTTTTGTTAGGGATGTCACATGCGTTATAGTAAATAAATGTTGACGTTGACAAATTTTGATTTTTTGTCACTCCGCGTGTGACCATTTCGTCATTTGTTTTTCTCTTCCTCTTCTCAGTTCCTTATACTTGGTCTACAAATACAAGGATTAACTGAAGGGAAACTCCCCCAGAATGACAGTTAGTGGAACTATGAGAAACCACATAGGAAAACGTTAAAAGATTCCTCTTTGCATTTTAAGAGTCTCACAAGGTGATAAAGTATGTACTCAGGCTCACGCACCTTAACGTTCGACAAATTATTTATTGCATTCCTCCCACCATCTGTGAAACCCTGTGCTAGGGAAAAGATGAATGAGTCACTGTTCATATCCTCAAAATACTTTAAAAGACCTTGTGTGAGACGGCAAGGCAATCACTAAGCAGAAATTTATAATACAAGGGATATGTACAATTAAATACAATGAATGCCCTACCCAGCCTGAGGTGGGGGGGTGCACAGAATGGTCTCTATTTATGTATTGTGGGTAAACTTAAGCACCCAGAATATGTAAGTTTAAGTTTACCCAGAATACATAAATAGATGCTAACACGGAGTGAGAGAAGATTGAAGGCAAAAATCTTCACCGCAGAGGCTAAAATAAGTAAGGCCGTTGCCTGGGACCAGCTTCAGAGTTTTGCGTTGGTACATGTTGGGCCTCGGGGGAAAGCAGGGAGAAAGGTAGATGGGCGTTAGGGCTTGCAGGGCAAGCAGTGCTGCGTGCAGGGCTTGGACTTGATTCTTGTAGGTGGTAGGATGCCTGGGAGAAATCTGTTGTAGGATTATCATGAGCAGATTTACTTTTGAATGACTCCACCTAAGAGGCAGGTAAAGAATGGATTTTCAGAGAACCAGCATGGATATAAGAAAATAACTTAAGACATTGTTGCAATAGTCTAGGAAGGGTGAATGGCAGACTAAACTGGGGCAAAGGGAGTGTGCAAATTGCCACAAGTGGCTAAGGTGAGTCAATACTGATGAGTCATATTTTTGTTAATTTCCACCGTATTTGCGTCAGATACTAGCCACTGGACACTGTTCACTGTACTGTGAACAGAAACTGAATGTATGTAGTTTTTTTTGTTTGTTTGTTTTATTTTGTTTTTTGTATCTGGGATCAAGATGGTTAGATCTTATTTGTGGTTCCTGGGTGGGTCTTGGGAACTTTGATACAATGCCTCCATTCCGGATCCATTTCTCACCGCTGTAGGAGAATGGCAGAAAGAAACAACTTAAAGAAGGCATGGCTTATTTTGGCCTACCATTTAAGGGGATACAATCTGTCATAGCAGGAAAAGCATGGCACAGCTAGTGCTGTCCTGGGCAATGGGAGCTGGCAGTAGAGTTTGTTGCATGGCGTTGATCAATAAGCAAAGAGGGCTGGGTGGTCACTAGACCTGGGAATGAGTCTACATCCACTCCCCAGTGACCACTTCCTCCAGGTTCCACAAACCACCACCATCACTAGCTAGAGACAAAAGGTTCAGACTCATGAATCTATGGAGAACATTTCATATTTAAATCATAATGAGCTACAAATGGCCATATTCTAAGAGTGTGATGTTGTGTTAGTCACTTTTTTGTTGCTGTGATAAAATACCATGACAAAAAGCAACTTAAGTAAGAAAGAGTTTATTTTGGCTTATGGTTCCAGAGAGGGATAGATTCTATCATGATGGGGAAGGCTCAGCAGTAGGAGTAGGTAGCTGTCTGACATAAGAAACAGAGAGAGAGCGAGAGAGAGCGAGAGAGAGAGAGAGAGAGAGAGAGAGAGAGAGGAATTGGGCAAGACTATAACCCCTCAAAGCCTACCACCAGTGACATACTTCCTCCAGCAAGACTCTTATTTTTAAAGGTTCCATAGCTACCCCAAACAGTACAACCAACTGGAGATCAAGTGTTCAAATACATGCACCTATGGGGGACATTTCTCAGTGAAACCCCCACAGATGTGTTTTCACAACTTTTCAAAAGTGTCATAGCACCAAGTATTTTCTCATAGTGATTTTTCTGTGTATATGTGCAAAATAATGTTTGCTAACCATTTGTGTCTGTGAGATAATTTTAATCAATTTGCTATTGATCAGTGCTAATGAAGTAATCTTAGGTATTGTCATCTGAAGTTGAAAATGAAGTCCTTTGAGTTTGTAATATATTGCAGTTTTATCATTGACTCAGAAGTTCTACTTTTCCCAAGAAAACCACGTCGTAGTGTTTATTAGCTTTAACTCAATTTTTAAAAAAATATTTTATTTATTATTTTTATTTTATGTGTATTAGTGTATTGCCTGCATGTAGGTAAGTGCACCTGTGTCGTGCAATGCCCGCGAGGACAGAAGAGGCTGTCGGATTCCCTGGAACTGGAGTTACAGACAGTTGTTAGCAGCCATGTGGATGCTGGTATTCGAACCTGGGTCTTCTGCAAGAACAACCAGCGTTCTTAACCGCTGAGCCATCTCTCCAGCCCCTTTAACTCAATTTTTAAAGAAAATATGGCCAAAGTATTCTACATTTGATGATTAACTGAATTATTGGGTTCTTCAATATTTTTTTCTCTCTCCTTTTTCCTTTGCAGGAAGGAAAGTTATTCAGAGTATTTCCCTACACCTGGCTTAGAAGTAACAGCATATTTTAACCAGAGGTTTGTAAGTATCTTTTCCTCTCTATTTAGGAAATGAGATACTGATTTTTTGGAAAAAACGACTTCTTTTATTGACCAAATATAGCTATACAACTTGAACAGGCATGTAAAATGTGAAAAATCTGCCGCTCCTAAGAATTAACAAGTTATGAAAGGAACCCAACCCCCATCAGAAAACAGTTACCACATGCACTTACAGCCAATGCATATTGAATTTATTCTTTGGGAATTTCTCTTTCTTGATGTCATTTTCATTATCTGCTTCTCCTTTGTGAAAGTATCTGTGGCCACACTTTTTATAAGACTGACATGCTGCTTACCATGCTAACGAGGTACATTGTGTCTGCATATTTTAGAAAGTTTTTAACATCAGTAAGAAGGACGATGAAAAAGATGGGGCATGAGCGCAGGAAGGAAAGCATTCTTTTAAAAGTTACGTGGTTTGGGATAGCTTTGTATTTTCCACGATTAACATTTTTAGTGAATTTTTTAAAGCTTGTGCTAGGCCTCCCATAGCTAAGGTCTCATCAGTCTCATCATAGTTATGCAATGGCTATTACTGTGTTGTAATAATTCTCATCAGTTCAGGATTGAGCAGTCTGATAGATTCTTCCTATTCCACTTAACCAAGAGCTAGAGAAAAACATACATTGTGACAGCTGTGTTATTAGAAGAGTTTAGAGGAACCAGCAAGAGTAAAACAGTAAAAGAAAACCTGTCCTAAAAATATATCTATACTGATAGCATTTTTACAATTTATTCCCCTG